AGAGAGATTGGAAAACTGAAGGCCTGGTTTCTAAAAGTTCTGAGTGTTGCAATCCACATTCAGGTTTGTCTTATAAATGTTACAGATAGTTTTGAAAGTGGTAGAAAGGAGGTGATGAGGAAATCATCCTTCAACAATACATGATTAGAATGCTTTTAACATTCTGCTACTGCCATCCACCATGTCGTGATCCAGTGATGTTTAGTTCCAGTAAACAAAAAGATTTTCTGAGCTGCAGAGGTTTCTCAGCTATGTGTGGTGTTGGGCAGGTGGATAGAGGAGGTTCTGCATCTTGTTGCAGAATCCATGTTGTGGGAAGCAGATTTTCAATTATTTTTTGATGTTATTTTGTCAATGAGTATCAGTGGAGCTTTGTTTGCCTGAAACCACCAGGGGGCATGAGGGGCTGCAGAGCCATGGCAGGATTTCAGGAGATCACCTCTGTTGGCAAAATATATATATATATTGCTTTTGTTCTTGGCTTTTTCTCTGGATCCTCTTTATTCCATCACAGATATTGTACACATTCTTGATTATTGTACATTTGTGTTAAGTATAGAATAACATTGTATCAATGTGTGTACTATTTTTTAATAATCCCATTGAGCATTCAAAGTGTTTCCACTTTGCATGTAGCTTTGGAATCAGCTTTTCTGTTCTAAATTGTTAGGAATTTTCTTCAGATTGTATTCAATTCATGCTGTTAATTGACCATGTGCAGCATCTTAATATTGATGCATCATGTTCCCAAGAATTATTTATTTACTTATTTATTTGTTTAGGTTTCGTTGTGGTGGATAAAAAGGCCTGCTGGGCAGGTCGCTTGGCACATGTTCTTCATAGGGATGTCCTGAGTTCAAATCCTAACACCCAATTCAGGAGGCTCATACACTACATACAATGTTTCTTTAAAAAATCTGTATCTTGCACTTATTTTTAAAAATTAGGAGTCCCACTAAACTCAAAGGTAAACAACCATAACATATTTGTCAAGGACCTAGTACAGACCAATGAGTTTCTGTGAGTGCTACTTCAGTCTCTGGGAACTCCTATGAGCCCTGCTTCCTTGATTCTCTAGGGCTGTATTCTCCTAATGTCCTTGAACCCACTGGATCCTACAAAGTTCCACCTCTCCCACTCTTCCTCAGGGTTCCCCAAGCTCCAGCTAATGTTTGGCTATGGATGTCTGCTCCCATCAGCTCCCAAAGGAAGCCTCACTAATTTGATTGGGCTGAGCACCAACCTATGAGTATAGCAGAATATTTCTCTCATTTCATTGACTTTTTTTTTCCCAAGCAGTTGTGGTTAGTTCTACCCTAGGTCTCTGAGCCATTCAGTTTCCAGTTTCTGCCCATTCAGGCAGTGTTTGGCATGGGCATCCTCTAGTAGCTTGGGCCTCAAGTTAGTCCAGTCCTTGGTTGGTAACTCTCACAAGCTCCAAACCACCATTGTGCCAGCATATCTTGCTGGCAGGACAGGTGTAGGTCAAAGATTTTTTGGCTGGGTTGGTGTCCCAGTCCCACTGCTGGGAGCCTTGCCTGGCTAAGAATATGGCCAATTCAGGCTTCTGTATCCTCAGTTACTTGTAGTCCTCACTCAGGTTACCCTCATAGATTCCAGGAAGTTTTCACTGCACTAGGTTTCCACATTTGCCTCATAAATGCTCCCCTTTTCTAGTTTTCTCTCTCTGTACTCTCTTCCCCCTCCCCTACCTCCCCTGCCTGATCCTTACTATTTCCATCCCCTCCTGCACCCATTCTGTCTACAAAATCTATTCTATTTCCCCTTCAAGGGAGATTCATGTGTTACCCCTGGAGCCTTCCTTGTTACTTAGCCTCTCTGGGTCTGTGGATTGTAGCATGATTATTCCTTATCTAACAGCTAATGCCCACTTATAAGTGAGGACATATCATGTTTGTCTATCTGGGTCTGGGTTGCCTCACTCAGGGTGATACAGAACTCAATAAACTAGACATCAAAAAAACTAAACAATCCAATTAAAAATGGGTTACAGATCTAAACAAACACTATTCTCAGCAGAAGAATCTCAAATGTGTGAGAAATACTTAAAGATATATTCAACATCCTTAGGTATCAGGGAAATGTGTGGGGGCCCACAGAGGCTCCCTAGTAAGGCCTTACTCAAGGTCAGAAAGTCTGAGCTTGCTTTGTCCAGCAGGGATCCATAATAGGATGATTTGGCCAAAGGCATGGCTACCAGGTATTTTGAAGGATCTATACTTATTGGTACTTTATACCTAGACCTTAAAAGGGGGAGGTCTTTTGCTCTTCCCCTTACTGATGTATAAAAAGCACATCATGAATAAACTTGGGGCAACTGGGTATTGACCCAGGTCCCTCCAAAGCTATCCTGCATCTCTGTCTTTCTCCCTGTCTACGTCTATATTTCTTCCTATTATTTCTCAATTCCTCACTCCTCCCTCCAAGAACCCTTCAACAGGTCCCTGACAGAAATGCAAATCAAAACTACTTTGAAATTCCATCTTAACACCTGTCAGAATGGCTAAGATCAATAATAGAAGTGGCAGCTCATGCTGGTGAGGATGTGGAGCAAGGGAAACACTCCTACATTGCTGGTGATATAGCGAACTTGAAAAGTCACTGGAAATTAATATGGGAGTTCCTCAGAAAACTGGGAATTCATTTACCTCAAGACCCAGGTATGCCACTCTTGGACATATACCCAAAGGACACTACCCTACCACAAGTACACTTGCTCAACTATGTTCTTAGCAACTTTATTTATAATAGCCAGAAACTGGAAAGAACCTAGATATCCTTCAAGTGAAAAATAGGTAAAGAAAATGTGGTATATTTACACAATGGAGTATTACTCAGCTGTTACAAAATGATATCATAAAATTTGCAGGTCATGAATAGAACTAGAAAAATTCATCCTGAGAGAGACAACCCAGACCCAGAATGACAAGCATTATATGTACTCACAAAGAAGTGGATATTAGTTCAGTTATGAAGTAAAAGATAATCACACTACAATCCACAGACACAGAGAGGCTAAGTAACAATTAATGCTCTTGGGGGCCACTTGGACTAAATACATTTTCCTAGGGTGACCATAGCTGCATAATGAACTGGGACAGAATGTAACTGATTGAAAAAAACACTCATAGGATGATACATATGAACACTTTTCTCTCATTGGTGGCTTTCTTTATGGTGCTTATGGAATCTTCAATAGGAAGAGCCTTTCCAGAGGAAGTTCCTCATTGGGGATGTGATTTGACTATCTATAGCTTCCCCTCATTTCCTGTTCTTTGTGTCTACTTTCTTGTTGAAATTGATCAATGCGCTTCCTTCTCTAGCTGTCATGAACTCACCACCATTATAGACTGTATCCCTGAATAATATAAGATACAGTAGAAGCAATTGCTTTTCATTGCTATGCCCTTAGGTTGCTTGTTTTTATTTATTTCTTTATTTTGTAATTTTTTTTGTTTTTATTTTTGAAGGCAAGGTTTCTCTATATAACACTGGCTGTCCTGAAAATAGTTCTTGAGATAAGGATAGCCTTGAACTTAGATCTGCCTGACTCTGCCTTTCATGTGCTGATAGTAAAGGTGTGGGTGAACATGCCCAGATTTTTTATTTTTATATTATTGACTGGTGAACCTGGAATGTAGGTTTTTGTATGCAAACATATGCTGTTATGCTGAGCTTCACCAACATCTTGAATTCTTAACTTTGTAGAGGATATCACTTTTTCTCCTTTGATTGCATATATTCTGTACTGTCTGAGGTTCTTGAGTCATTGGATTGCAGAGATGTGACATTCCTACAGCCTTTTGTTGTATGTTTTGAATTTTTGAATAAATATGAATATTTTGCCTATATGCATGGATATACATACATGTGTTTCTGGTGCTTCCAGTACTTAAAGCATGGACTCAGAACCTCTGAACATGGGGTTATGGATAGTTGTGAGCCTCCATGTAAGTACTGGCAACTGAACCCATCTCTACAAGACCAGCAGGTGCTCTTAACTCCTAAGTCATCTCTCCTGTCCTATTTTTTGTTGTGTTTTTTTAAAATTTTTTTTTACAATCTGTATATATATTAAAGATTTATTTATTTATTTATTTATTTATTTATTTATTTATTTATTTTGTATACAGTGTTCTGCCTGTATGTATGTCTACAGGCCAGAAGAGGGCACAGGATTTCATTACAGATGGTTGTGATTTCATTACATCCCATGTGGTTGCTGGGAATTGAACTCAGGACTTCTGGAAGAGCAGCCAGTGCTCTTAACTGCTGAGCCATCTCTCCAGTCCCTTCTTGTGTGTGTTTTTTTTAAATTTGAATTTACAATGCTTACATTTTCCCCTGTCCATCTCTAATGGGTTAAACATGTATTCTCTTTTAGTAAGATCTTAGTTAACACTTTGGATTTCTGAGAGATGAATAGAAAACTGGAATGAATGCATATCTCACTGAAGTAGGAACTTCAATGAGACCTCTTTTTTGTTTGTTTGTTTAGGGTTTTTTTTGTGGGGGCAGGGTCCATATATGTACCTTTGGCTATCCTGGAACTCATTTCATAGACCAGGCTGGCCCCCAACACAATGAAATTCACTTACTTCTGATTCCTGAGTGCTGGGATTAAAGACATGAGAGAATACGTTCTTCTTGCCCATCTTTTTTGTAGTTAGTAATTGTTCATACAATTTCTCTGATGTGTACTGAGTTCTGTTGATTTCTTTTCTTATATCTCTCTGTAGGTCTGTTAATAGTCATTTCTCTTGGAAGGGCAAATTCTATTCAAAGAGCCAGGAAATTGCATTTCTGAACTTCCTTTTCAGCTAAGTTAAAAAACATCTTGGTGATTATATTAGAACTTCTCTGTCATGGAATAAGTGTGGGAAGCACTGTAATTATACAAATATATTGTCAAAGAAGTATACATTTACATTGTGATCAATATCTCACTTTCTCTTGTATACATCAATGGGATATATTAGAATTCAGTGACCTATGATGATGTGCATGTAAACTTCAATCAGGATGAGTGGGCTTTGCTGGATCCTTCCCAGAAGAGTCTCTACAAAAATGTGATGCTGGAGACCTACAGCAATCTCACTGCTATAGGTAAGACCATGAATTTTTCCTTTCAACTTTTAAAAAAGGAGAAAACTTTCTTGGTTATTAATGCTCTACTGTAATGTTGATTGATAAAGGTGAAGAATGTGGTGAATAAATCAGGTATAATTCTTAGGTTCACTGAATATAGTAACTTAAACTTTGCATAATCTTCAATAATATACATTTTCTGATATTATATTTTAGGCTACAAATGGGATGACCATAATATTAAAGAAGATTTTCAAAGATCTAGAAGACTTGGAAGGTAATTTTCATGCGCAAGCTGATACAAATGTGCCACAAAAAAATTTTAATTTGTAGTGGAAGTTTTTTTTAAACTTAAAAAGAATTTATTTATTATTTCTGTCTTTCACATCATGCCTGTCTTCCCCACCCCAAATAAAACAAAATAAAATTTAAGAGAAAAAGGGAGAAAAAAGGAAAAAGGGGAAGATTTCCTCATGGAAGCTGTAGTATGACACAGTGAGTCATGTAGTAAACCCTTTATCCATACATTTTTATATGTAGGCATTTATCACAAAGAATAATTGGTCTGGTTCTAGGCCCCTGGTCTTTGCTGTATCACCCATTCTGGGCCCTCTATGGGACTCTTCCTGGACATCTCATTCCGGCTCTATGTCTTGGAGATCTTGCAGCTTTAGGTCCACAGGACTGATCTCCTCCTCCAGTGCTCCAGGAGATCACAGATGGGGTGGATATTGGGGTGGACCAGCTCATAACCCTGGTTCTGGTCCTGGGTACTTGCAGGGTTGCTCATCCCACCAGCTGTCCCCTGTATTCACCACCAGGGTGAGTTCCCCATCTCCCTGGCTAGTTTACCCCTTGCAGTGATGAGCAAGGGGCAGGACCAGTTCTTTGGTTTTCATGTCCTCAGGGTCCATTCTTCCTCACCTATACCTTCAGGGCCAGCTCTGCTGGGTTGCCCAGGTAAGGTGTAGGGGCCACTCTCCTGAGTGCTGCAGCTGATGAGGGGCAGGGACAGCTATTCTGCTCTTATGACCTCAGGGCCAGCTCTCCCACCAGCTTCAGGTATGTATGGGGAGGGGAGGCATCTCTTTCCTGCCTATGCTGCCACTAGGGAGATGAGTAAGTGGGTACAGCTCTCCTATGCTCACAGCCTTGGGGCTGGCTCAACCTAAACCTCTGCCAACAGGGTTGGCTCTATTGTACTTCTCAAGCAAGGCACAAGGCCTGTTCTCCCACCTGCCTCAGGTGTTGATGGGAGGAGAGGACATCTCTCACCCACTCATGGCACCACTAGACACATGAGTAGCTTGCTGTAGAAGTTTTAAGGAAAAGCAACAGTGTAAATGAGCACAGCTTTAAGTATGCTGATGATTACTAAATTGTCACAATACCATGTACCTCAGTGTCAGGCATTTGATCTATTTTTGCAAGGCATTCCTCTAAGAAAGAAGACAAGGAAACAATGCCTTAACAGATACCACCACTTGAATCATAGCCCCATGATAGCTAGGCTGTAAAACTGTTAATCCATTTAGTTCCATACTACTCAGATATAACAAAAGCCATACCCGTTGATTAGGTGATAAGTACATTTCTAAAGCCTTCTAACATGGAGATAGTCTGTAATAAAGTTAATGTTATATACTTGTGGTGAGTTACCAAAGTTTAGTGAGAGGGGGAGTTTATAAGAGTTAAGAAGATTGTTGTAGAAAAACCTTAATACCTGTACCATATGTCTTTGAGGAACAAAAAAAAATAAACTGTAAATGCAATATGGAAACCTTTTATTAGGTATTCTTTCATTAGTATTATATCACATTTCACTCTGAAAACACACCATGTGTGCTTTCACACATAAAAACACACCATAAAGGATATGGAAAGAAGCAATGTACTTCTCTTTCCCAGAACAAGTAGAAGATATGTAGTAGTTCCCACTCTGAGTAGACTTTCTGAATGTGATATAAGTTTATAATTAGTTATTTTTCCAACTTCATTGGAAATATATCAACAAACTCACATCAGATAAAAGCCCTGCTGGTACAAAAAGTGTGGAAATTCTTCTGTTTGTCCTGGTTCACATTGCAAATGTAGTGTGATTCAACATATAGGAAAATGTTATAAATGTAATCAGTGCAGTTATCAGCTGTGAATTCTTCCAGTTCTCTCCAATTGTATGAAAAAGCTCATATTAAAAGGATGCTATAAATGTGAGCCCATGTACTAAGGGCTCTAACCATTACAGATATCTAAGACCCCATAACGATTAGGAACCCTATGAATTTAAACAATGTAAAACCTTAAGATCTGACTCTTCTTTACCCTTAGACCAAACTGTAAAATTAAGTCATACAGATAAAAACATTTATCAGCATAATGGATGTGGTAAAGCATTTACATGTGCCAATTATCTTCACAGGCATGAAAGAAGTCATACTGGAGAGAAACCCTATGAATGTAGTCAATGTGGGAAAGCCTTTTCACGACAGAGTAATCTCCAAGTACATAAAAGAACACACACTGGAGAAAAACCCTATGAATGTAATCAATGTGGGAAAGCCTTTGCATGCCACAGTTATCTTCAAAAGCATGAAAGAATTCATACTGGAGAGAAACCCCATGAATGTAAGCAATGTAGTAAAGCTTTTGCAGATTACAGTAATCTTAAAATACATGAAAGAACACATACTGGAGTGAAACCCTATGAATGTAATCAATGTGGTAAAACCTTTTCACAACAGAGTCATCTCCAAATACATAAAGGTTCACATACTGGAGAGAAACCCTATAAATGTAATCAATGTGGGAAAGCCTTTGCATATCATCGTTCTCTTCAAAGGCATGAAAGAGTTCATACTGGAGAGAAACCCTATGAATGTAAGCAATGTGGTAAAGCTATTGCATATTACAGTAATCTTAAAATACATGAAAGAACACATACTGGAGTGAAACCCTATGAATGTAATCAATGTGGTAAAACCTTTTCACAACAGAAGCATCTCCAAATACATAAAAGTTCACATACTGGAGAGAAACCCTACAAATGTAACCAATGTGGGAAATCTTTTGCATGCCATAGTTATCTTCAAAAGCATGAAAGAGTTCATACTGGGGAGAAACCCTATGAATGTAATCAATGTGGTAAAGCTTTTGCATATTACAGTAATCTTAAAATACATGAAAGAACACATACCGGAGTAAAACCCTATGAATGTAATCAATGTGGTAAAACATTTTCACAACTGAATAATCTCCAAATTCATAAAAGTTCACATACTGGAGAGAAACCCTATAAATGTAATCAATGTGGGAAAAGCTTTGCATGTTATCGTTCTCTACAAAAGCATGAAAGAGTTCATACTGGAGAGAAACCTTATGAATGTAAGCAATGTGGTAAAGCTTTTGCAGATTACAGTAATCTTAAAATACATGAAAGAACTCATACAGGTGTGAAACCCTATGAATGTAATCAATGTGGTAAAACCTTTTCACAACAGAAGTATCTTCAAATACATAAAAGTTTACATACTGGAGAGAAACCTTATAAATGTAATCAATGTGGTAAAGCTTTTGCACATCATAGTGTTCTTCGAAATCATGAAAAAAATCATATTGGAGAGAAACCATATGAATGTAATCAGTGTGGTAAAACCTTTTCTAAACAATATAATCTCCGAATACATAGAAGAACACATACTGGAGAGAAACCCTATAAATGTTATCAATGTGGGAAAGCCTTTGCATGTTGTAGTGGTCTTCAAAGGCATAGAAGAATTCATGTGGAAGAGAAGCCCTATGATTGTAATTAATATGGTAAAACATTTTCACAACAGAAGCATCTCCAGATGCATAAAAAGCTCACATACTAAAGAGATCCTATAAATGTAAACAATGTGAGAAAGCCTTTGCATGTCACAATTATCTTCAAAGGCATGAAAAAATCATATTGGAGAGTAAAAATATGAATGTAATAAGTTTCATAAAGTCTTTGTACTTCACTGTAATCCTTGATACCATCAATGAGTTCATCCAAGAGTAAAACCTGTGTTGTGTAATCAATTTGTTAAAGTCTTTGTATATTATAATAGTCTTTGATGACATGAAAGAACTGCTACTGAAGGGGAATCTATGAGTATAAAGAATCTGGTAAGATCTTTAGCCAACTAACTTATATTTAGTTACACAAGAATATTGTGGTGAAAAAAAAAAGCTGACACATGTCAGCAATCTGTTCAAGCATTATAGTGTCCCTCTTTATTTTGTTTGCATGTACAAATTCATGGACAATAGCTCTGTGGACTAAATTAGCAAGACAAACCTTTTAGATATCACACTTCTCTCCAATTACATGAAATAACTCATCCAGAGTAAAACTTTATGGAAGTGTACTAGTGCCTTTTCTCTTTCTGTGTGGTTTGAATGTAATTGGTCCCCATAAGCTCATAGAAATTTTCACTTTGTTGGACGAAGTGTGTTAATGTGGAGGGAAGCTTTGAGATCTCTTTTTCAAGGTTCACTCAGTGTGACAGTCAGTCCACTTCCTGTTACCTTCTGATCAAGATATAGCCAGCACCATGTCTGTCTGCACACTACCATGATCTCCACCATGATGATAATAGCCTGAACCTCTGAACTGTAAGCCAATACCTCAATTCAATGTTTTCTTTCATAAGCATTGCCCATGGTCATGATGTCTTTTCACAGCAATAGAAACCCTAATTAAGATACTGATAAAAACAGTATTTGAGGCAATTTATAAAAGAGCTTAGCTGGGCATGGTGGTGCACGCCTTTAATCCCAGCATTCAGGAGGCAGAGGCAGGCAGATCTCTGTGAGCTTGAGGTCAGCCTAGTCTACAGAGCAAGTTTCAGGACAGGCTCCAAAGCAACACAGAGAAACCCTGTCTTAGAAAACCAAAAATAAAAAAGAGCTTAATTTGGCTTATGGTTATGATCTTCATGAGAGAGGCAGGGCAAAGCTCAGAGTTCACGTCCTTGACCTGAAATGTGGAGCAGAGAATGGGAACTGGAAGTGGTGTGAGGATTTAAAATCTCAAAACTCACAATGAGTGACATATTCCCTCTAAAGGGTAGCATTTCTAAAATTTTCTAAATGGTACAAACAACTGAGAATTATTGATTGTCTGTTTTTGAAGGCTACATGCTTGTTTTCTTTTACATGAACTAATTCATGATGAAGAAAAACTCTGTAAGCTTCTTGATGCCTCAACCTGTGGGTTACAGGAATGAATGTTTACACAAGAAAAATTGTCATAAATGAAAATATATTTAACAATTTGTTTTAAATGTTTTATGTGGCTGGGCGGTGGTGGCACATGCCTTTAATCATAGCACTCGGGAGGCAGAGCCAGGCAGATCTCTCTGAGTTCAAGGCCATCCTGGTCTACGGAGTGAGATCCAGGACAGGCACCAAAACTACACAGAGAAACCCTGTCTCGAAATGTGATGGAAGTGTGTCTTTGGGTATATGCATGTTCTTGGTGGTACCCAAGAAAGTTAGACCTTGTAATCTTCCTGAATTTCTAAAAGCAATTACAGAAAGTTGTGGGAAAAAAACCTCACCTAGTTCCTTGGCATGAGCTTGACTTAACTAGCCCTGTCTCTAGCCCTGTAAATATTTTTAAAGCCTTTATATGTCATCTTAACATAAGGAAATAGGGAAGAACTCATGCATGAGGAAAACCCTATTCATGTGATTTAGACATCACAGTTGTCTTCAGTTTCAAAGAAAAAACTCTTGTTTAATCTCTTTTTTCATCATAGGCTTGAAGCAAGTAAATTATTTAGCATGTGCACTCAAGACTGATGGTGGAGATCACAATATCGTGGCTTGTGTTTTGAAGCTTTTGGAGTAGCTATTGACGAATTCTGTATATATGACAAATCCAGTTACTGAAGTTTATTTGGTGGTTCATACATTCATTTTTTGGCTTCTGTTCATCTATTGTGCTTTCAGTTGGTAATAGGTATTTTTCTGCTGATATGTATAGGATGGAATGCCCATCATCAAAGGGGTCCATTGTTTATTTAAGTATTGGGCAGTATATAATACTTTTCAAGTAAAGGTGTCTGTGAAAGGGTGATGGATTGTTGTTACTTGTTTTGTTTTTCATATTTTCACAAGTTTCCTTCAGACATGGTTTGTGATCCAGCCTGGCCTGGATATCAGTAAACAGTCAAGGATACATTTGAACAGATGTTTCTCATGTGTCAGCCTTCTGAGTACAAGTCCAACAATAGAAGATGTGCCTCCAATGTGTCCTGTTTTGTCAATACTTTTTAAAACTGTTAATGTTCAAACACTTAATAGAAGATAATCTCAGAAACATTAAAATACCTCATCTGTGTATTCAAGGTAGCATTTTCATCTATCTGGTAGAGATATAATAAAGTAGAATAATCAACAATCAACTGTGTATCTCATAGTTTGATGTGCTATAGATATTATATATTATTTGATGTTCCTACTTTATGATCCAATTTTTATCCACTTTGCACTCCCTCTTGAAGTATTGCCTCCTAAGGGAGTTATCTAGAGATGCCAGATAATGTCAGAGAATTGAGATTTATTTTAGAAAAAATGTGTGTGTGTTTGTGTGTGTGTGTGTGTGTGTGTGTGTGTGTGTGTGTGTGTGTGTGTGTGTGTGTGTTGATTGTGGGTTTGTAGGGCATAGCAGACATGTTGAGACCTGAAGAAAACTTGAGAAAATTCTTTTGGTCCTCTTTGTATGGTAATGAAATCAGATTACCAGCCTTGCACACCACAGACATTTTTTACCCTAATGAAGCATCTCACTGGTACTTGACTATGATTAGTAGAGACATTATATCAATAAAATGTTATCTATTAAAATTATAAACATTTAAAGATAGAGGAACACAGGATGATTTGAATAATGAATCCTATTTGCAAATGAATATGTTATACTGCCATTTTTGGATTGTATTAGTTTCTTCTGAGAAGTAAACACTTGTTCGTAACACTTTCTCAGAACCACAAATGAATTCTAGGGAATTGTCTCAGTGAGTAAATTTGGTTGTTACTAAGCCTGATTACCTGAGTTCAGTCTCTTGGAGACCCATAGTACTCCTACAAGGTTTTCTTTTGTTCTATACTTGGGCTGTGGCATATGCACACCCAAACACCAGCATATAGAAAAATAATTTTAAAACCCAAATAAGGCCGATGAGGTCACTTGCAGCAAACTTGACTACCTGCATTTGATCACTAGAACTCACATAGATGAAGCAGTAATTACACCTGTAAGTTGTTCTGTGAGTGTCACATGCACACTGTGGCGTAAGTGTATACACACTGTTAAAACAGTTTTAAAAGTTGAAATCAGGAAAGTGAAGAAAATAACCTAAATATTGAGAACAAATAAAATTTCTTGCCAGTTGAAATTAATACATTGTAGAATTTTAAGTAGAATTACTGTTCATCAGAACAATGATGGTTCCTGTTTAAAATTTGCATTATATTTTTTATTCTCTGATTCAAACATAGGTCATTAAAACAATATATCCCAGCTGAGCATAGTGGTTCATGTAACTGCAGCACTTGGGAGACAAAGTCTAGAGGATCTCTCTGAATTTTAGGCAGGTGTGGTTGAGATAGTGAATCCCAGGACAGCTGTTGCTACATAGAAAGATCCTTTCTCAAAACAAACAAAGATTATGGAACTTTTCTTATATAATCTGGCTGAACTTATCTGTATTCTACAAATCCTTTTGTTTTCTTTACTCACATCAAGAGAAATATATTAATAATGACAATAAGAAACAACGAGGAGAGTCCATTCACAGAGGGCTAGAAATCCATTGACTCATTCAATGACCATGTAGCAGAAGGAGTAATGGGGCCTCTTCATCTACTGCATTATAATGACTTATTTGGTAGCTGGAGAGTTGGCTCAGTAGTAATGATCCTGTTAGGTACTCAAGTTTGATTCGTAGTGCCCATGTCAGATAGCTCAGCTCTACCTGTAATTCCAGGTTTACAAGATATGAGGCACTGTTTTGGCCGCCTTGGGCAACAGGTATGGAAATGGTGTAGAGACAGAGACATGTGACTTCATATTGAAGAAAAGGTTTACTTCACATGTGTTATTTTTTAATTAAAGTTAATTTAATTTAGGTGTATAAGTTTTGCCAGTGTGTAAAACAATTGAATTCCAGGTACCAGTGGAGACAAGAAGAGAATGTCAAATCTCCAATGGCTGAAATGACAGTGAAATACAGACAGTTGTGAGATGTCTTTTGGGTGCTGGGAATCAAAGCCAGGCCCTATGGACAAAAAGCCACTGTGTTTAGCTGCTGAGCCATGTATTCATACCCATATACATGTCATTTATAGCAGTAAGATATAAGTGCTGTTTTCAGTTCATCTTTACTTCAGACCTAATGACCCATAAGAAATATAAGATTGATAGCATCAGAAACTAACTTGGATTTGATGCTTCAAGAAAATTTTAAACCTAAATCTGCACAAAATGAGGGAAGTGTGCAAAGAATGTTCAGGAGAGAATTTGAAAGCAGTAGCCTTAAAAGTGTCTGACCACTTGACCAAAGCCACATGACTGAGTTTATCTCAAATGTGGTAAATAGGCACCAGTGGGAGCCCACAAGGACACAGGCCCGATGTCTCATGCTGGAGTTTATGCTCCCTGTAAGGAGAGAAAATGAATTTGCAGGAATGAAGACCAACTTGTCTGAAAGGGATGGTTAACTGCTTCACTGATGCCTATGAAGAGACTAGAAAACCAAAACAAAAACATTGTTTTTAGGGCATGGTAGGGCAAAAATGGACTAAAGGATTTTTTGGAGAAAACATCTTGGAGATTTCAGGTAGGAAGCTGGGGCAAACCATTAAGACCCAGCATAGCCTTCCTCTCCAGCCTGCCGGTGTAAAGCCTGACTGCTGGCAACAGCTTTTCTAGCACCTGGTATTCTATTCTTTTGGTTCTGGTAGGGCCTTGCTTCCCCAAGACTGATTCTAGGCTGATGTAAATTTACATGAACCTTCCATTTAAAAGGCCTAAGCATTTAAAAGTGCCAGATGCTTTGCTAATATTGGAGGCACATGGTTAAGAAAATGCTTCACTTCCCTCTGGAAGCCATTAAATCTATCAGATAAAGCAGTGTGTCAAAAATGAAACAAAACTAACACACTGGTGTCACTTCTTTAGTATAAATGAGGTAATCCTTTAAGGGTTCAGTGGCAGCAGAAAATTTATGGATGTGTTCATTTTGTTTTATTTCACTTTAATGAGGAAGTCACATGGCATTTACATTTTTTAGGAAACCATTAGTAAACATGATGGCCAAGACACATTGCTGCTTTCATTGTGATGTAATCACCAGTAAGATGGGAACAAGCCACATGTGCAGGGAACCATAGAGTTGACTTGGCCTAGTTGCCTTGAGAGGAATGCATCATAGGTTTTTCAGGTTAGAGTCCATGGCTCCTGGGGCATAATGTGGCTTCCAGTTTCTGAGAGACTGATGCACTCCCTCAGGCAGTAAAGCACTGAGACTGCTTTGCATTTCTCTGTATGTTCCTATATTAGTCATCAAGGGAGGGTGACAATTGGTCTTGAACATTAATCTTGTGTACCCTATGCCCTGTATCCTGGCAACTACAAATGTTTTGATCCTGGCAATTGCCACTATATTCTGTTTCTGATAAAAGTATAAAAATCTGATTGCTCTCAATAAAATTGTCACAGCCTCAATTGTGTTGTGGTCCTTCCAATGGCCATATCAGGCCATGTTGGCCCAGTAAGTAAACACAGGCACTTACAAACATGGTTCCTTTTTGATCAAAATTATCTCAGTTCCAGTGGAAGGTGAGCCCATCTCCCTTCAGGCAAAAGTCTCTGCAGGATCCACACATCTCAGGTTAAATGTGCACTGTCACTCCTTTTTTTTTAAGACATGTTAGTTTGTTTAGCTTGTATATAGGAGGGGATAATATCTATAACCTAGGCAGATAGGCTCAAAATATCAAAAGGAACAGAGGAAAGAATTTCATGATCCCAATCAGAGACAGTGAAATATTTCTTACACATGAATTACATTGTCATCCAGGGATTTTTTTCCTCCTCAAGTCCCAGGTACAACATGTTTCTGGGCACCAATTTATCTCAGTTCAGTATGCTGTGGGCTGAGATTAGATAGATCTGTAACCCTTCATGTGTGCTGGCATTTAAAATATTGGGAAACAGCCGGGCAGTGGTGGCGCACGCCTTTAATCCCAGCACGCGGGAGGCAGAGCCAGGCGGATCTCTGTGAGTTCGAGGCCAGCCTGGACTACCAAGTGAGTTCCAGGAAAGGCGCAAAGCTACACAGAGAAACCCTGTCTCGAAAAACCAAAAAAAAAAAAAAAAAAATATTGGGAAACAAACTTTTTCAAATAATTTATAAATTAAAACCTGGAAGGCTTTTGGGACCCTTTTACTCAGAAAGCAGTACAAACATCATAGACAGACTTAATTACACAGAGACTGCCTTTCTCCCTTCCACCAGAATTAATTCAAGGTTTCTCAAAATCTGTGGGTGCTGGGTGGGGAGGGAAACAATGAATAATGCCATGCACAGAGAGGAAAGCTAGGGACTTAAAAGTCAGTTTGCAGACTTTGTGTTGTTCAGTGTCTCCTTAGAGTAGGGCGAGTTATATTAAGGGAGCCTGTAGCACAGCTAGAGGATTTGGCTCCCCTCTGTTTAGGGGAAATATTTCCTTTCTTTAGTTTCTTTCTCTGACTCTCTTTTTCTTTAGAGCTCTTTCTACCTAGGCTGTTTTCCTGTGTTGGTTTACGTTGTGTTAAACACCCTTTTAAAGAGTTTTCTTGCACATAAGTTTCAGGTCAAACACATCTCGATCCCAAGAAAACCTAACCACTAAAGGAATACATTTTTGTTCTCCACATAATTTCTTACACTTCATCTATGCACAGAGTGTTCCTTGTTGCCCTGGTAATTCCCTTAGATCTGCCCTCACTGTGATGTCCAAAAACTTCCATCCTCTGGATTCTTTTGGTGACCTAGAGAGTTCCAGAGGCACAAGACCACTACAGAAGATGGTGGGAAGTATCTACCCAGGGAGACAATCTCAGATGGTTCCTCAGGTAAGCTAAGTTCCCAGACTAACCTCTAAATTGTTTCAAGTGTTTGGACATGGCTAACTTTTCTCTTGATCAGGAGTGTGAGTGTACACTTGAAAAGGGAACTCCCCTAGACAGTAACTGCACTTGATTTTATCCTGAGGAAAGTGGTGACTGTGTTTTGTCCCCAGTATCTGGGGTTGGCCCTCACAATCTTACTCACTAAGTGAATCTGAAAGGAAATGGCGCATAGGACATGAATGAGGAAGGGAAGCAAGACTTCTTCAAGGAGAGCAGGGTCACTGCTCCAGGCCATCAAATTCCTAGAATACGGAAGTAGGCTGGGGAATAAACAAGACTTTGCTGAGTGGAGGAGATATAGAGATTTGAATTCCATACCTTAAAAACAAGTTTGATAATATTTGATAGAAAACATTCATATTTGATATTTCTTTGAGCACAAGTGTGGCTGTATTTGTTGAAACCACAATTGGAAGTGTGGGCTGCAGAGGCATAACAGGGTTTCTGATCCCCTCCATGTCCAGAGAAAGTTGTAGAGAGTGGGGTCTCTCTGCTTGGCATAACAGCAGTTGGAGGATCAGTAACCTAAGAGTTTAGGGTTCACTTTAAGTCAGTTTTGGGGGAGTTCTGAAGTCATTGTGTACATAATTTCTATCCCTATGGAATAGTAGGCAGGTGGATAACATCTTTCAAGATTACATACTCCTGGCTGAGTTTGCTTTGGTCCTTTGTTTAAAACGTGACTACAGTTTTGTGCTGTTGTTTTTAGCTTTTTCTCTCTGCCAGTTTATTGTTTCACAAACATATCACCCTTTCTTGATATTGTTTTCTGTTAAACACAGAAGTCAGATTCTGTCAATGTGTGTATTTCTTCTTAATTCTATTGAGCATTCTAAGCTTTTCACCTTTTCATATACCTTTAGAAACAGCATTTCTTTCATAAATTGTTGCAAGTTTCCTTTGGGTATGTTGAATTTATGCTGCAAATTGAACATGCCAAACATCTTAATATTGATTCATCATGTTCATATTACGAGTCACCATTTATTTACTTCTTTTATTGTTTTGTTCCTATGTGAAATACTTCTAGTTTATTATATGAAATGTACTTTGGGGCTAGACAGGGGGTTCAGCACATACTCTTTCTTCTTGGGGATGGCCTGTGTTTAGATCCTAATGCCCATCTTGGGAGGCTCATATGTACTTTCAACTCCAGATCCAGAGTATCTGACAAAACTCTTTTCTCTTTACACACACACACACACACACACACACACACACACACACACACACACACACACACACACCACACGAAAGACATTCTTGCATGCACAAAAACACACATAAAAATGGGATTAAACTATGTTTTCCAAAAGTCTTTATGGCTTATGAAACAATTCAAGCAAAACAAGTTGCTTTAGATGTATAGCACAAATCATACAATTAAAAAAATCTGTTATCTTGCTTTTCAATTTAAAAGGTTTGCATTACCTTGCCTTACTATGATCCAGAATTACATCCAATCATTAATCAGAGGAAACATAAAATAGTTTCTATCTGATAACAAAAGGCTTCATTTCCTGTATCTTTAGAGAATGAAATAGTTTTATTAGTTAAAACTATTATCTTCAATGTTGAAACATCAGAGTTACTTCAAGTAAGTCTCCTGAATTCTGGAAAAGTCTCAAAAAGACACCATTTTCTATTATTGGCAAAGCAGAGTACTAGAGTGCTACAGTGTAAGTGCTGGCTCATGGTTTGTTTTTATTGTTGTCTTATTAGAATTTTGTACTTCTTGCTTTGAAGGATCATGGTATATTTTTAGGTTTGTGTCTTTCATCAGTAATGCTGTCTATGTTTCATGTTTTAATGAATTATACATCTAATTCATTATTCTTTTTTCAGAAAATGATGGACTTTCATGTATTTTTATATTCTAAAAATTGGCTATAATACTTTATCAGTCCTTGGAAATTTGTTGATTTGTTGATGGGGGAGTTTCTGTAGAGTTTTCTTTTCTTTTCTTGGACATATCTGGGTTTTTCAACTTTTGTTATGATTGCGTGGGGTTTTGCTATTTAAGTGATTTTAATGGATAAATACATTGTTAGATTGTTAAATATTCCTTTTTTCATTTTCATTTTTAATTTAAAAGTTTCTTTTCATTTTACATACCAACCACAATTCCCTCTCCCTCCTCTCCTCCTGCTCACCCCTTATCTTCCCCTCACCCCACCCCATCCACTCCTCAGAGATGGTAAGGCCTCCCATGGGGAATCAACCAAGTCTGGCATATCAAGTTGAGGCAAGACCAAGCCCCTACCCCTGTATTGAGGCTGAGCAAGGTATCCTTCCATAGAGAATGGACTCCAAAAAGCCAGTTCATGCACTAGGGATAAATCCTGATCCCACTCCCAGTGTCCCCAGAAACTGCCCAAGCCACACAACTGTCGCCCACATTCAGAGGGCCTAGTTCCATCCCATGCAAGTTCCCCAGCTGTTAGTCCAGAGTCAGTGAGCTCCAACTAGCTCCAGTCAGCTGTCTCAGTGGGTTTCCCCATCATGACCTTTCTCTTTTGCTCATATAATCCCTCCTCCCTCTCTTCAACTGAACTCCAGGAGCGCCACCCAGTGCTTAGCTGTGGATCTCTGCATATGCTTCCATCAGTTACTGGATGAAGGTTCTATGTTGACAATTAGGGTAGTCACCAATCTGATTACAGGGGAAGGCCAGTTCAGGGATCATCTCCACTATTGCTCGGAGTCTTAGCTGTGGTCACCCTTGTGGGTTCCTGGGAATTTCCCTAGTACCAGATTTCTCCCTAACCCAATAATGGCTCCCTCTATTAAAATATCTCTTTCCTAGCTGGGTGGTGGAGCACTTGGGAGGCAGAGGCAGAGGCAGGCAGATCTTTGTGAGTTCAAGGCCAGCCTGGTCTACAGAGCAAGATCAAAGACAGGCTCCAAAAAGCTACACAGAGGAACACTATCTTGAGCAAACAAAAAAAAAGTATCTCTTTCCTTGTTCCCCCACTCTATCTCTCCCCCAACTTGACCATCTTATTTCCTCATATTCTCTTGCCACCTCCTCTTACTTCCTCCCTCCCCCCCCCACTCCCAATTTACTCAGGAGATTGTATCTATTTCCGCTTCCTAGGGGGATCCATGCATATCTCTGTTAGGGTCCTCCTTGTTACCTAGCTTCTCTGGGGTTGTGTATTATAGCCTGGTTATCCCTTGCTTTTCATCTAATATCCACTTATGAGTGAGTACATACCATGTTTGTCTTCCTGGTTGGGTTACCTCACTCAGGATGTTTTTCTAGTTCCATCCATTTGTCTGAAAAGTTCATGATGTCATTGTTTCACAGCTGAGTAATACTCCATTGTGTAAATGTACCACATTTTCTTTATCCAGCCTTTGGTTGAAGGGCATCTAGGTTGTGTAGACAGAGATTTTCCTGTGTCCCACCCCATTCTGCAGTCATTCAGTCCCAAATTAACATATAGAGACTTATATTAATTATAAGCTATTTGGTCTATTGCTTAGGCTCATTACTAATTAGCTCTTACAACTTAACTCAGTCCATTCCTATTAATCTATTATTTGCC